TAGTTTAACACCCACGTATTTGGTTCCTGGTAAACTTCCGACACTCGATAATTGGGCCTCATTCCAATAGCCATGACTAGTACTCACCTATGATTAGGTTACCCATAGATAAGGTGTTTTTCAGTTCTTCTGTGGTGCAGGAGTCTGGAGTACAGATTCCCATACTTAGATACAAATACCTCTGAAAAACAATAGATGTATAAATAACAAGTTTTTTTCGAGTTCCTGAAACCGTTAAACAGAAGAATTACCCTCATCTTGATGTAAAACCCAGGATGACTTATGTCCAAAACGTGACTTTCAACATAGAAGAAGTCACCCTCATCTTTATGTAAAACTCAGGACACAGTTGAAGACTGGCCTTTTCTTTTAAAGCTACAAAATAGGTGCCATGAGTACTAGTACTTACAGCCACCTAGGAAAATACAAAACAATTATCTTTAGAGTGAACCAAGTTTCAAACATCTCCTAAATCCAACATAAAAAAACTGAAAAGCTGAGGAAGTCACTGATAGAAGTTTCAACACTTAAACGCATAAAATAAGCTGAGCATTGATTAAATAACCTTGACATTTTAATGTTTTGATAAGTGTTAAATACATCCGATCTTAAGACCAAACATCCGGCAGGGATAAACATGGACGTTTAACCTATACAGGAAAAACACAAACAGGTTTTCTTACTATAAAACACAGGTATAAATTAGGACAAGTGTCCTTAAAAAGAATTCAAGAAGAATTTATTTGTGTATCCTTGAGTCTCAATTGTTTAGACACTGATGGCAGCTGAAGAGCGAAAGAACTGAAAGAAGGGTTCGTCCGTCATGCTTGAGTTGGTACTTTGTTACCTGTTTCTGTGAACTTCAACATAATAAAAAAATGTATAAATAACGTGGTAGCTTGGTTAGAACAGAGATCTGGCTCAACTTGGCAACATTTAAAATCTCAACTGTGTGTTTCTTGTTCGTTGTCTACAAGATTAACTCTATGACTTGGAAAAAAACGTTTATCTAGATGAAATAAAAAATAGTGTAAGGATATATGTTGTACGTTCAGTTTGCTTTCGATCATTATCTTGTTGCTATGGCATCCATCAGACAAGGGAGATTTCGTTCCACACAATACTACTGTTAGTGTTTACTTGTTATCTTGTTACTATGACATCCATTAGACAAGGGAGATTTCATTCCACACAATACTACTGTTAGTGTTTACTTGTTATCTTGTTACTATGGCGTCCATCAGACAAGGGAGATTTCATTCCACACAATACTACTGTTAGTGTTTACTTGTTATCTTGTTACTAGGACATCCATTAGACAAGGGAGATTTCATTCCACACAATACTACTGTTAGTGTTTACTTGTTATCTTGTTACTATGACATCCATCAGACAAGGGAGATTTCATTCCACACAATACTACTGTTAGTGTTTACTTGTTATCTTGTTACTAGGACATCCATTAGACAAGGGAGATTTCATTCCACAGAATACTACTGTTAGTGTTTACTTGTTATCTTGTTACTATGACATCCATTAGACAAGGGAGATTTCATTCCACACAATCCTACAGTTAGTGTTTACTTGTTATCTTGTTACTATGGCATCCATCAGACAAGGGAGATTTCGTTCCACACAATACTACTGTTAGTGTTTACTTGTTATCTTGTTACTATGACTTCCATTAGACAAGGGAGATTTCATTCCACACAATCCTATAGTTAGTGTTTACTTGTTATCTTGTTACTATGACTTCCATTAGACAAGGGAGATTTCATTCCACACAATACTACTGTTAGTGTTTACTTGTTATCTTGTTACTAGGACATCCATCAGACAAGGGAGATTTCATTCCACACAATCCTACAGTTAGTGTTTACTTGTTATCTTGTTACTATGACATCCATCAGACAAGGTAGATTTCATTCCACACAATACTATATTTAGTGTTTACTTGTTATCTTGTTACTATGACATCCATCAGACAAGGGAGATTTCATTCCACACAATACTATAGTTAGTGTTTACTTGTTGTCTTGTTACTATGACATCCATCAGAGACTTCATATGATACTAACATATTTTTCTTCTTAAATCACGATTTATTACAGTTTAAACAACACAGATAATGAAGTTTTTGTTACTTATACAATAGGATGAAAGTAACAACAAATAAGAAACTCTATATTTATTTGAATTATTGTCAGTTAACCCTAGTTAGTAAGAAACTATAGCTTCACACACTTGTCCTCAGACTTATGGAAAATTAAAACATATAAGTTTCCCAGAAGGAAAATATTAGAAAATCGTAGCACTAAATGTCTATTATAAAGGCTTAGTAGACATATTTAGGACTTTATTTTGTAACTAAATCTGTAAAATGTCATATTACTATTGTAACTGAATCTTCAACATCATTTCGTTCTCATAATTATATCTTCATTTTATTATTCTAACAATATCACTGACATTTTATTATTATCTTTAGGATGTCATTGTATTATATTAATCACATCTTTAAAATGTGATTTTATTATTTTAACTACATCTTTAGGATGTCATTGTATTATATTAATCACATCTTTAGAATGTGATTTTATTATTTTAACTACATCTTTAGAATGTGATTTTATTATTTTAACTACATCTTTAGAATGTGATTTTATTATTTTAACGTTTGACATAGTGCTAATGACGTCACATTATGCTGCTAATTAATGATGACCTTATATCATGTTTCTGGTAACATAACACAATAATCCTGTAAATGTTGTTGCTGGTGGTGGAATACACATTACTCATACATAGAAAAGTCTTCAACTTTATTAAAAAATCAACACTTACTCCATCATGGAGAACAACCACCGTCGCCACCATATTATACTGACTCTTGAAACTTAAAGTATCGTTATCGAGTTGTCTGTCGGGTATCTTGACGTTAACACACTGTCGGAATTTTCCAGGCCACACTAAAGCTCCTCTAAAGATCCCACTTTGTAACTTACCGGACGAGTCTATCACTGGCAGAAAATCATAAGTAAATAGCTTTAACAACTTTGTTCGTTACTTCGTTTATTTTACTAATGTTTACTTCTTTCACATAATAAAATTAAAAGACAGAAACAAACAGATAAGTAAGAAAAACTCTCAAAACCTAAATATTTAAACACATTAACGATTGCAAAAAAAACACACTCTGGTCTATTACTCTATATGGTAATTGTCTCAGGTCCTCACCGGCATTGGACCAACTCACTCGCACTCATTCCAATAGCCATGCCTGCTTAGTATCCTCACTCGCACTCATTCCAATAGCCATGACCTGCTTAGTATCCTCACTCGCACCTCAGTAAATACACAAACGTTAAATTAAACACTAGTATTCTCAGTAACTACACAAACGTTAAATCATTCACAAGTATTCTCAGTAAATACACAAACGTTAAATTATTCACTAGTATTCTCAGTAACTACACAAACGTTAAATTATTCACTAGTATTCTCAGTAAATACACAAACGTTAAATTATTCACTAGTATTCTCAGTAACTACACAAACGTTAAATCATTCACTAGTACTCTAAGTAAATACACAAACGTTAAATTATTTACTAGTATTCTCAGTAACTACACAAACGTTAAATTATTCACTAGTATTCTCAGTAACTAGACAAATGTTAAATTATTCACTAGTATTCTCAGTAAATACACAAACGTTAAATTATTCACTAGTATTCTCAGTAAATACACAAACGTTAAATTATTCACTAGTATTCTCAGTAAATATACAAACTTTA